ATCGGACTCCCTGCTCAGCACAAAATCTGATTCTCCCTCTGCCCCTCCCCTGCTTATGCTCACACACTCTCTCTCTCCCAAATAAATAAATAAAAATCTTTAGAAATAAATCTTTTAAAAAAGAAAAAAAAACCGACTTGTTTGTGATCTAACATGTCATCTATCCTGAAAAATTCTGGAATTAAACAACTTAGGCTTAAACAACCAAAAGATCAAAGAAAAAAATCAAAAGAGAAATTAAAAAACATCTGGAGACAAATGCAAACAAAATTACAACACACCAAAGAAAAAACTTCAGGGATGTAGGAAAAGCAGGAAAGTTTATGCCTACATTTAAATTAAAAAAAAAAAAAAAGAAAGAAAGATCTAATAAACAACTTAATACACCTCAAGTAACTTTAAAAAAAGGAAAAAGCTAAGCCCAAAGTTAGAAAAAGGGAGGAAATAATAAAGATTAGAGCAGAAATTAAAAGAGAATAGAAAAAATAATTTTAAAAAATCAGCAAAACTGAGAGTTGATATTAGAAAAGATCAAGAAAACTGATAAACTTTTAGCCTAAACTAAGAAAATAAAGAAGACTCAGTAAAAGCAGAAAGGAAGAAGGAGACATTACAATTGATGTCACAGAAATAATATGAATATAGACTACTATACACAATTATATGCCAACAAATGGGATAACCGGGTAGAAATGGGTAAATTCATAGAAACGTATAACCTCCAAAGACTGAATCTGAAGAAATAGGAAATCTAAATAAATCTATAACTAGTAAAGAGACTGAATCAGTAATGAACTTCCCAACAAAGAAAAATTCAGCACCAGGTGGTTTCAAAAGAGAATTCTACCAAACATCTGAAGAAAAATTAATGTAACTCTTTCTCAAACTAATCCCCAAAATTAGAAAGAACACTTCCAAATTCATTTTATGAAGTCAGTATTACCCTGATGCCAAAGCCAAACAGAGACACTACAAGAACAAGAATAAAAACTATAAGCCAACATTACCCTGATGAATATGAATGCAAAAATCCTCAACAAAATATTAGAAAGCCAAATTCAACAGGACATTAGAAAGATCATACACCATAACCAAATGAAATTTATATATGTGAGGCAAAGATAGTTCAACATATGGAATCCATCAATCAATGTGATACACCATATTAACAAAATGAAGGGAAAAATGTTACAAGATCATCTCAATAGATGCCAAAAAAGCATTCAACAAAATTCAACACCATTTCATGATAAAAATATGCAAACCAGAAACAGAAGAAAATTACTGCAACATAATAAAGGCTATATATGAAATGTCCACAGTTAATATCATACTCAATGGTGAAAACTAAAATCTTTTCCTCTAAACATCACGAACAATGCAAGAATGTCCATTGTTGCCACTTTTATTCATCAGAATATCTGAAGTCCTCGCCAGAGCAATTAGGCAATAAAAAGAAAGAAAAGGCATCCAAATCAGAAAGCAAGAAATAAAATTATGTTTCCAGATAATATTATATGGAGAAAACCCTAAGATTCCATTAAAAAAAAAAAAGCTGATGGAAACAATAAGCAAATTTAGCAAAGTTACAAGATACAAAATTAACACCCAAAAACTAGCTACATTTCTCTACACTAACAACAAGTAATCTGAAAATGAAACTAATAAAACAATATCATTTACAATACCATCAAAAACAGTAATACACAGGAATAAACTTAACCAAGAAAGCAAAAGATTTATACAATGCAAACAAAAAACAATGTTAAAAGAAAGTACAGAAGAAACAAATGAAAAGACATCACATGTTCATGGATTGAAAGACTTAATATTGTTAAAATATCTATGCCATCCAAAGCAAGCTACAGATTCAGTATGACCCCTATCAAAATCCCAATGGCATCTTTGCAGACATTTTTGCAGAAAACAGTGTTAAAATTCATAAGGAACCACAAAGGACTCTATATAGCCAAAACAATCTTGAGAAAGAAAAATGAAGCTGAGGGCCTCATACTTCCTGAATTCAAAACATTTTACAAAGTAATCAAGACAGTACGTACTGGCATAAAGAAAAACATACAGAGCAAAGGAACAGAATAGCAAGTCCAGAAATTAATCCATGCATATGGGTCAAATGATTTGACAAGAATGCCAAGTCTACACAATGGAGAAAGGATAGTCTTTTTAATAAATGGTGGGGGGGGAAACTGGGTTTCTACAGGCAAAAGGATGAAATTGGACCTTTATTCCATATACAAAACTTGACTTAAAACGGGTTAAAGACTCAAACATAAGTTCTGAAACTGTAAAACTCATAGAAGAAAATATAAAGCAAAAGCTTCACACATTGGTCCTGGCAATGATTTCATGGATATGACTCCAGAAGCAAAGACAACAAAAGTAAAATAGACAAGTGGGACTAGATTAAACTAAAAAGCTTTAGCGCAGCAAAGGAAACAGTTAATGAGACTATAAAGAAGAAAATATTTGCAAAGCATATATTTGATAAGGAGTTGATATTCAAAATAAAGAAAAGTAAATAACCTGATTTAAAGATGAGTAAAGGCCCTGAATAAGCATTTCTCTAAAGAAGACATACAAATAACCAACAAGTATACGAGAAGATGCTCAACATCACTAATAAACATAAAATACCAAGTTCTGGCAAGGATGTGGAAAAATTGGAACGCTTATGCATTTTATATTGGTGGAAATGTTAAAATCGTGCACCCATTATGGAAAAGAATATGGACATGCCCCCAAAAATTAAAAATAGAACCACAAACAATCCCAGTAATTCCACATTTGGGTATTTATCCAAAAAAATTGCAAGTAGGATCTTGAGGTATTTGCAAACCCATGTTCATTGCAGCGTTATTCATAATATCCAAAAGGTAAAAACAACCTAAATGTCCATGGATGAGTGAATGGATAAAGAAAATGTAGTATATACATACAATGGATTACTATTCAGCATTTAAAAAAAAAGAAGAAAATCTTATAATATGCTACCATATGGATGAAACTTGAGGATATTATACTTAGGGAAATAAGCCAGACACAGAAGGACAAACACTGTATGATTCCACTTATTATGATATATTTATAGTAGTCAAACTCATCTAAGCAGAAAGTAGAATGCTGGTTGCTAAGGGCTGATAGAAGGGAAAAATGGGGAGTTGCCATTTGATGGATACAGTTTTAATTACATAAGATGAAAAAGTTCTAGAGATCTGCTGTACAACAATGTGCATATAGTTAAAAATTGTACATTTAAAAATTTGTTAAAAGGATACATATCATATTATGTGCTTTTTTTTTTTTTTTTAGCACAATTGAAGGAAAAAACGGGGAGAGCGTACAGGGGGCATGGGAATGAGCATGAGAAAAAATGAATGAACTAATGAAATCTGGGCAAAAGCAGAAACATATACAAAGGCCCTGAGTGAGCTAATAACCTATTCAAGAACTTGAAACAACACCAAAACAACTTAGGCATGGTGAACAAGGATGAAAGTGGTAACAAATGAAAACCAGAGATGTAGTAGCAGGAGCCTGACCAGCCAGGGACTTACAGGTCATGATGAAAGATTTTAATTTCATCCTAAATCAACAGAAAGTTTCTAAATGGCTTTAAGTAAAGGAATAACAATCTGATTAGTGCTTGAGAATGATCAATATTCTAACAGTTTTGCCTTTCTCTGCAATGTACCTCTTCTTTTTTTTTTTTTTTTTTCTTTTTTTTTAAGTAGGCTCCACGCCCAGCTTGGAGCCCAGTGTCAGGGCTTTTTCTCACAATCCTGAGATCAAGACCTGAGCTGAGATCAAGAGTCAGATGCTTTACCTACTAAACCACCCAGGTGCCCCTATAATATACCTCAAGTAAAAAATTAAATAAAATTAGGCAAGAATCTTCCTTTAAAAAACAAAGGCAAAATTTCAGAAATATCTGGAATTAGATTTAAGGCAAAATTACATTAATGGGTCAGGTAATCTGAATCAAATATGAATACAACACAGTTTGTCTATAGTAATCTAATAAAACAGGGGCACCTAGTTGGCTGAATTGGTTAAGAGTCTGCCTTAGGTTCAGGTCATGATCCCACAGTCCTGGGATCCAGCCCCACATCAGGTTCCTCCTGCCCCCCACCCCCCGCTCCTCTGCCTGCCTCTCTGTCTGCTTGTGCCCTCTCTGTCAAATAAATAAATAAAATCCTTAAAAAAGAAAGGAAGTGGGGTGCCTGGGTGGCTCAGTGGGTTAAAGCCTCTGCCTTCAGCTCAGGTCATGATCCCAAGGTCCTGGGATCGAGCCCCGCCATCGGGCTCTCTGCTCAGCAGGGAGCCTGGTTCCTCCCCTCTCTCTCTCTCTGCCTGCCTCTCTGCCTACTTGTGATCTGTCAAATAAATAAAATCTTTAAAAAAAAAAAAAAAAAAAGGAAGGAAGGGAAGGAAGGGGAAGGGAAGGGAAGGGAAGGAAGGGGAAGGGAAGGGAAGGGAAGGGGAAGGGGAAGGGGAAGGAAAGGGAAGGGAAGGGAAGGGAAGGGAAGGGAAGGGAAGGGAAGGGAAGGGAAGGGAAGGGAAGGAATCAGGTAAAATCTATCCAATAATGGCAGCCATACACTTTAAGTTTCCTTTGAAAGTATAGTATTGAAGCAATTATTCAACTGGCAGTTATTCAACTGGCAGGGAGAAGGAATGATGAAAACATGTCTTATTTCTGATCTCTCATTAACCATAGCATAAAAACAGAATAAATTTCAGCTATAAAGTACAACACACAATATACTTAAAAGTTTGATTTGCATCTGCCCTAAAACAGCATCTTATACCAGTCCATGTAAGTGGAACAAAAGAATTATTCTCAGACTTGCCTCAGTATCAACACACTATTTCAAAATGAAGCACAATTATCTGTATGGAAAATATCAGTTTCAATTTGCCTTTTTTCCCTTCTTATTGGCAGTCAACTCAAAAGAAAAGAATATAAACTAAACGTTTACCTAAAAATTGTTTATTTATGAAGGCTTTATGCTAGGAAAAACCTTACCAACAGTACAGCTGTCTTCAAGTACCACATCAACATTTCTGTCTCTGTACTCAACCCTGAAGTCCAGCATCCGAGGCTGCCGTTCTACAATTTGCCTAGATGGCATTACAGGTCGAAATGCTGAAGAGGAAGAGGGAGCAGGAGCTGAACCTGGGTGACTTGGATCAAATGCAGGTCCTGGTATAGTCTCACCTCCATAGTCACTGAAATATTGACATAAAGAGAAAGATTATCATCAACCAAATCATTACAGATAACCACTAAGGACCCATTCCATACTTGGCTTGTGTTGGTCTTCCAATCAAATTTACCTACCTATGCATCAAGGCCTAACTAAAGTTTTACTTCCTCCCTAGCAACTGAAAGGGATCTTCCCTAGCAACTGAAAGCCACATTACTCTCCCTCCCATCCTTGTCTTTCTATGTCTATTAGCAGTATCATACATATCATTTAGCATTTAATCAGATTTTTGCCTTATATTGTGATGATGCTATTAGAACATTCATTTCTGTGAATTAAGAAGTGTCTTCTTCATTCGCTTTCATTTGCTCACTGAAAGATTATTTGATTAACTCTACTTTCCACAAAACTCAGAAATTAACCATCCTTAAATCTCCATTCTATCAAACTCCTCAGTCTTAAAAGATTATTTTTTCCCTGCTTTGCATAGAAAGCAGATGCCATCAAGATGAAATTCCCTTACTTTTTTGACAACAAATCCACCAACTAACCAGCATATGTACTCTTTTTCTCTTTCTGTAAAACAGGGGCAACATCACTCTATCTAAAACCATCTTCTAATTAGCTTTACATTATGGTATATACTTATCCTTTCCAGTATCTTCACCTTCTCTTCTAGATTCTTCTCAATAACACTTAAACATGTTAAAATCTTAAAAAATAAAAATACAATCTTTGTTCTGCCCACTTAATAGTTATCTCATTTGTTAAATGGGAAAATTAATTATACTTGTAGGGATTAAGTCAGATAAATGCATGAAAAGCTTAGCACACTGCCTGGTACCTGGTAAGATCTCAAACTCAGTATATCCAAAGTTTAACTCATTTATGTCTTCCCAAGCATGATCCTCCCTCCATTATTCCTCATATCAGCTAACCAAGTCAGAAACTTCTGGCCGTTATCCTTGATAACTTCTTCTCTCACAACTCCCATATCTAGTCAGTCCTTTTAATTTTACCATCTAAAAATCTTTTAGTTAAGTTATCCACCTTTCCCCTCTGAAGCTGACACCGCAAGCCACAAGCACCTCTTGCACAGGCTGATACAACAGCCTCCTAACTAATCCCTCTGATTGTTCCCTCACTCCCTTGCATGTCATTCCTTACCATCACAAAAATGAAATTATATAAATGTCTTCATGTCATTTTCTTCAATATTCCCCTTTGCTCTTCATACAGAGTTAAAGAGGTGTATAAGTCCCTATATGATCCAAATCCTATCTACCTCCCCAGCCTTAGCTTGTGCTAGGCTATCTCCAATCTCTCTATGTTAACAGCCACAACAGCCTTTCACTTCTTCTGTCTCACCTTGATCCTTCTCATTTCATAGGGGAACACAGATCATTCCTTCTAAGCATGTTCTTTCTTTCCCATCTCATCCCAATATTCCATCTTTCTTCTAGCTAATTATATTTAGCCTTCATATCTCAGATTTAATGTTTTTCAACTCAGAGCATGTTTTACTACCTCAGACTGATTCTAATTCCTCACCACTACCAATTATAATTGATATTAATCATTTGACATTTAAGACCCCCCAGAGAATAGAAGTTCCAGAAGGGCAAAGTTCACATTTGTTCATTTAATGGCTGTATCTTCTGCCTGGAGCTCAAGATTTTACAGAGAAAGTGCTTAAATATTTAACAAACCAGTGAGTAAAGGAATAATTATTAAAGAATTTGATTTTTCTCTCACTTAGTTTATCATATATAGTCACTTCTTTTTCCCCTCACAGGGAGAAGTAAAGAAGAAGAGAACATAAAGAATGCTTCCATTGAAACGTCATTATTGCAGATATGTTCCACCACCACAAAAACTACAAGCTCAGTTCTAAAACATCTTTCTTCTCACTCTAAATTTAAGGAAAAAAACAACAGATTGGGAACCTGAACAGAAACAACAAAAACAAGAATGACCAAAAACCCACAAATAAGCACTATTCTTATGACAACTCAGGAGAAAATATTTACATTTACTTCACACTTTTGCTCTGATTAGTGTTTACCAAATTTAGATTACAAAATCGATTTTGTGCGTTGTGGTTGTCTTTTAAAGAACAGGACAGGATAGGATAGGATACAAATGATTAGTACATGGCACTTAATAGTTAGAACCAAGTATTGTTTCCCAAAACTTTTGATTCTGATAAATATTTGCATATGTGTATTTTGGATTCCAAATATTTCTCATTGTAGGTAATAATGATGAGAGTTCAGATACTCTAGTAATCACTGATCCAAAGGCAAAAATCTACACTTTCTCCCAGTTGTTAGATTCAAGAAAAGTAATCTTAGAAGTAAGACATAGAAAAGAAAATGTCCAGAGCAGGAAAGAATATCATTGTTGGAATCCACTGTTGGAGTATCTATGAAGAAAATGTGTACAATGATATTTCATATCTCTAAATTTTGTCACAACTTCTAGGAACCTCGGAAAAATAGCTAACATTAACAGGCTGGTCCCTGACTTATTGTTTTCTTAACTCAAAATTCATCCTTCTATTGTCTATTCTAGCATTCTGCAAAATTCTATTTATCCTTTGGCGTATGTTTCCCCAATAGATTCTGTAAATAGGGGATACTAGAGAGAGATCATTTGTTAGGAGGAGAGAACAAAAGCCTTCCTTCTTCCTATTTGCATTTATTTCTATCAGTATCATCCTTTAGTTTTTAGTCTCCTGGCTCTTTTCAGCATTCATATAACCAGATTCCTGACATCCCCTCAGACACCAATAGCAGCTAGACAGTGTGCATTCCACAGCTCCCTGATCCTAACTCAGGTCTAACAGGCTCCTCAGAGCTTGAAAGTTCTGTTAATCCCTTGACCAAGACCTGAGAGTGGTAACTTCCTGAAGCAGTTACTATACATAGGTTACTTCAGTTTTACTTTATTGCTCTTTTAGTTCTCCACACCTGTGTAACCAATTCTACGTTAAACTTGAAATACCCAATTTTTATTTATTTATTTATTTATTTTTTGGTAATGGAGGTGTCCCAGAAATGGGATTCAGTTACTGGTTTGATTACGTCCTTAACCTTCAATATACTGATGAGCTCCGTGTCAATGGAAAATGGGATACTAGTGAGCATGCACTGGCATAATGATTAATTAAATTATCACTTATAGTTCATTATGATCACATACCTATTAAAACAAGTGCCTAAGGGGACAAATGATTATTTGACTTGGCTATTATGGTGGCAATAATGACAAAATAAAGACTTTGAGCTGGCTGCTTCTGACTCTAATGGAAAGCTTAACAGAAGAAAATGACACACTTAGGGCTATTAACATTCAATTCAAGCCATGACAAGAAAGCTAAAGCTTTTGAAGTAGCACTTTATTATTTCCCATCCTCTGGGTATGATCCTACTGAGAATCACACACAAAATTTAATTTTGCAGCTTAAATAACTACAGTGAAAGCTGAGTAAATGTACTTTCTAAGTTTCTTTTGTGAACATTACAACACCGTTTTAGAAAGAGTGGGACCCTAAAATGTGGAATAGAGATCCCAAGTAGATTCAGATGAAGGTTACAAACTTGAACTCAGAGTCCCTCCCAACCTTTTTTGTAAAGAGAAACAACTCCTCCTCTCATGACTGAGGTTAGCCTCCTCTTGCTTGAAAACTGGCAATGCTCTTACTTGAGACTGTTGCCTTGAAAAGGGATGCCTATTGTCAAAACCTACCCCCACCATTCCTTACTATGTCTAAAATCAGATCTAGGCATGCTTCAAGAGAATAAGTACAATGTCTTAATTGAGAGAAGGCTTATATCCAATATTATAAGATTCTGATAAATCAAAAATCTAGGGAACAGGTAAGGAAATGAATTTGAAGTGAATTTGACCAAAAGAGCTTGGATAGGACCAAATATAACATGTTTGCTTAAGCAGCTGTAAGTCCTCTAATAGTATGCTTGTTGACTGAATGAAACTTAAGTCCCAAAGGAGTCTAAATTTAATGAGGATGAAATGCCCAAACTTTCCTGGCAAAATGTAGAAGAAATCCTGATGCTTAGAAAAATAAGAATGCTCAAGTGGATTTCCATGTACAATCTAAACATACATACATCCTCCTACTACATCATCCATGAGGTCCCAGAGGACACTGCACTAAAGCATTAAGAAATACATTAGTAAGGGAGGGTCTGCATTCTTGAAAAACTGTAGTGGCTGTCTTCCATAGGTTGATGAGATGACACCACTGAATAAGTTTCCTTAATGGGTATGAGATCCCAAAGTGCTCAGTTCAAATGGCAGAATTTAGTAAGAAAAAGGTGGGAGCAATTAGTTAATGGACAGCATAGACAAGAAGTGGCAATCTGAAGATTTCAACCTGCAGAGATCTTTAGAACTGTTTAACTGAACATGATTATTATGATTATTACCCCCCCCCAACCCTGAGAGAGCATGCATAAGCGTGGTGGGGGAGAGAGACAGAGAAAATCCTAAGCAGGCTCCATGCCCAGCCCCAAGAGGGTTCAATCTCATGATCCTGAGAGATCATTATCTGAGCCTAAAATCAAAAGTAGGACACTTAACCAACCGAGTCACCCAGGCGCCCCAGAACATGATTATTTCTAAGGAAGCAAATTAAAAGTCAACTGACTAAAATACTACTTGATCTAAAAACATCAGAAATCCTAGATCTGATAGCCTAAAACCTAATGTCTATAACCGCAGCAGAGAGTCATACTCACTCCCAGGTTCCAAACACAAATTGTTTCACAGACATAAAGTCCCTGATTCCCATAAGCACAATGCAACAGAGCCACATGTATGTATTAGAAATTTTCCTCTAAGACTTTTCCTAATGGGCCTGCAGCCATTTATTAGGGTGTTTGTGTAATGATAAAAGGAAAATATCTAAATTTTTATGTGATTACTACATGCTAACTCTAAATTGATACTAATTCCTGGAGATATAAAAGTGGAAGATTATGGTGGTAAATGAAGTTT